TACATACTTTTAGTTGCGCGGGGTTGTCTCTCGATTCATCGTGCGGTAGACGTTTGCACAGGTGGTGGGTGCATGAAGCGGATACACGTACGTCTACGAGTGCGTCTAGCACTCGACAATTGCGTTCGAGTAGCCGAGCGTGTAGAACTACGAATTTCAGCACGCAAAGAAATTTACTATAACGGGGAAGTTTACCATCTCGTGGTGGCACCAAAAGTCAAGATAACGTTATAGCAAATTTTCTCGTCAGACGTGTTGACAACACCATGTCGCTTGCAGGCATAGGAGCTGCGACGTACCAAGCATCAATTGCTTGGGGTGCGTTGCATTACGACCTCAATGTACACTGCGCTGCTCCCATTGCGATAGCGCAGTACGTACCCTCTATCAGCCTGGCCTATTTGGCGCCAGCTCGTGGTTGTGATCGCGGCATACTTGGGTTTTCTATTCGCATGAAATGCGTAAACTACGAGACAGCAGCTTGGCGTCTGGCGCAAGCCATTCGACGGCTGTCGCTGCGTCGAACTTGCGCCGTGGTCCTGGCTACAACAAACGGGCTTGCTTTTGTGTATCGCTCACTTAACGTCTTTGTTGATCATGCATACATCGGTGCTTGCCGGTGTCCTGGCCCTTGCGCTCCGCGCGACGACAGCGTTGCCCACGTGCGCACCCATGGAAGCCAACGTCGACTTCTGGGGTAACGACGTGGGTCGTACGGCGCGCTCGTCGGCCGACGACTGCTGTGCTGACTGCAAGAACACGCCGGGCTGCCGCCTCTTTGTCTGGAACGTGCACGAAGGCGGTACTTGCTGGCTCAAGAGCAAGATGGGTGCCAAGACGTACTTCCCTGGCGCCAAGGCCTCGGTTATCAACGACATCACCGTGCCGAGCCAGTGCCCTGCCGTCGAAGAGCATGTCGACTACTGGGGCAACGACGTGGGTCGCACGGCCCGGGCGTCGGCGTCCGACTGCTGCGCCGACTGCGAGGCGACGCCGGGCTGCCGCCTCTTTGTCTGGAACGGCCACGAAGGCGGAACGTGCTGGCTCAAGAGCGAGCAAGGCGCCAAGGGCTTCTACTTTGGTGCGGTGTCTGCTACGCTTTCGCCCGTATCGGACTGCAACGTCGTCGAAGACAATGTCGACTATTGGGGCAATGACATTGGTCGCACGGCCCGTGCGACGGCCGACAACTGCTGCGACGACTGCAAGAACACGCCAGGCTGTCAGCTCTACGTCTGGAACGATCACGAAGGCGGCACATGCTGGCTTAAAAACAAGAAGGGTGCCAAGACATTCTCCCCCGGTGCCAAGTCTGCTACGCTCAGGTGACGACGACACCAACACTTTCCCCGACGACGGCTGCACCAACCACGGCTGCATTGACGACTGCTGCCCCGACGACTGCTGCTCCTACGACGGCTGCACCGAAGACCGCTGCTCCTACGACGGCGGCCCCG